CAGCTCCTGCTATGCCCAGCCCTCTGCCCCTCCGGGGGCCTCTGCCACCCGCTCTGACGTTGCGGCCTGTTCCTTTGCAGACTCCATCGGGGGCCCCTTCCCTGTCCCGGCTCACCGATGCCACCACAAGCAGAAGCACTGCCCTCCGGTGCCGCCCGGCGGGGGGCTCCCGGCCACGCCACTGCTCTTCCACCCGCACACCAAGGGCTCCCAGATCCTCATGGACCTCAGCCACAAGGCCGTCAAGAGGCAGGCCAGTTTCTGCAATGCCATCACCTTCAGTAACCGCCCGGTCCTCATCTATGAGCAAGTCAGACTGAAGGTGGGCCCTCCCACTCCCTGCCCTCTGTGCCTCCCTGGACCTCGACCCTTCCCTCTCAGCACTGTCTTCTGTCCCGGCCACGACACCCTGCCCTTCTCTTGCCTCCGGGCCGTCCCTTCTGCTCTTCCTCATCCCTCCTCATGCTCTTCCCTCTTCCTCCTCCTTTCTCAACCTTCCCCGTGTGACAAAGAAGGACCCGGGGATGGGAGTGGCCATGGGGGCCACAAGCTGTCACTGGACAGTGGGAAGGCTCCTAGAGGAGGGGAAGGAGGACAGCTGGGCGGTGTGGCTCCCCGTAGGGGTCTGCCAACAGGGGCACACTCCCTCCCCTGGGGCCCTTGGCAGTGGCCGGGAGGCCGGCGGGCCGGGGTGCTGTCTGAGGCCATCTCCTCCGCCCAGATCACCAAGAAGCAGTGCTGCTGGAGCGGGGCGCTGCGCCTGGGCTTCACAAGCAAGGACCCGTCCCGCATCCACCCTGACTCGCTGCCCAAGTACGCCTGCCCCGACCTGGTGTCCCAGAGCGGCTTCTGGGCCAAGGCGCTGCCCGAGGAGTTTGCCAATGAGGGCAACATCATCGCTTTCTGGGTGGACAAGAAGGGCCGCGTGTTCTACCGCATCAACGACTCAGCTGCCATGCTCTTCTTCAACGGGGTCCGCACGGCCGACCCGCTCTGGGCCCTGGTGGACGTCTACGGCCTCACGCGGGGCGTCCAGCTGCTGGGTGAGTGCCCGCTCCCCGTGCCCCTTCGGTGCAGGACACGCCTCCGGGTGCCGAGGTGTGATGCTGCTCCATCCCATCACGCACGGGGACCCCTCTCCTGCTGGCAGGGCCCCGGGGCCTAGAGGGCACTGGGAGAGCTCAGGGAGCCTTCGTGTGCCCTGCAGAGTGCTCCCGTCCTTTGGACTCACAGCTGGGGTGAGGGGCACCTGGGTGGGATTTCTGCCCTCCAGGGCCCCTCAGGTTGTGCCTTTGAGCAGCACACAACCTTCATCATAAACGGCAGCCTCAAAGACCCCCCGCTCCCAGGAAGTAATGAATATTAACCTCCGTAACCATAGTGTAGTGAGCACTTACCTTGAGCTGGGTACTTCATTATTGCCGTTCTCACAGCATCCCTGGGAGGCAGATTCTGTTAGTGGGCCCCCGGGAGGCAAGACTCGAGCTCAGGGAGGTTGAGTCATTGGCCCCAGGAGACGCAGCAGGTGAGGTGTGGAGCCAGCACTAAGTCCCAAGTGAGCCCCTGGCCCCTGGGCTCTGCAGCCCCCCAGGAAGTCCAACCCCACCCTAGTGCTTCTTGCAGGGATGTGGGTGAAAGGGATAAGGCAGAGGGGAGGGCAGAAGGCACTAGGGTGGCTAAGACTTTTCTGGCTGCTCCTGGGTGCCCGGGGTGAGTGAGGCTGCTTCAGGGGGGTGAGCGGGCACACATCCCGTGGGAGGCAAGGAGGAGCCAGGCTTTCTCAGGAGGGCACACATGGATTCTCAAATGCCAGCGCTGCAAGGGGCCTTGGAGAGTCTCAGGCTTCCTGAGTTGGTGGCTGAGTTGGGACTAGAATCCAGGTCACCTGACTCCCAGTCCAGGATGGCTCTCACCTTGCTCACTCGTGCACGTGCTGGCAAGTGCACGTGCATGTGCGTACGTAGACTCTGGGTACAAATCAGTTCACGGGCAAAATGGCTGTGTTGCCAGGCAGAGCCTGCATTAGCCTCAGCTTTCCCATCTATAAAATGGGCTGTTGGGAAGAGGAAGTTAAGTTAAAGAGGCTGTGAGCAGAGTGCCCAGCACAGTCCTGGGTATCCAGTCAGTGCTCAGCCCGTGCTTGCTCTTTCCACTTCCCGTCCCTGCCCCCGTCTCCCTGCAGAGAAAAATGCCACGGAGGTGGTTGGAAACCCTTTTTTTTTTTTTTTTTTTTTTCACTTTTTTTCCTTTCTGGCTTCAGAGCCTAGAAACAGTGAAGCTCTTTTCAAAACACCTTTATTTCAGTAAAAAAGACAGTGAAAGTAAAAACAAGTAATTGTCAGAAGCCTTTCTGTGGAGTTCCAAACATCAGGAGGCTGTTTTTATTAATTAATAGTTTGGGAACTTTCTGTTTTTTCAACTCAGTAAAGTGTTTCTACATTCACATGGACAAGTTAAGAGCCCAAAAGCAGGCTCCTCTAAGTCTTCGTGAGTGGAGAAGGGAGCCGAGGCCGCCCAAGGATAATTCCCTTTGTGAAATGGGTGCACTTTCAGGGAAGGGCCTTGACCTCCCAGCAAAGGAAGGGCAGTGGTTATGCCCCTGGGCTACAGAGTCAGAGTGACCCAGGTGGGATTCCTGGCCTCATCCTGTACTAACTGTGGGACTTCAGTTTCCTCATCTGTAAAATAGGGGTAGGTAATAACAAACAACTGTTCTCAGGGTTCTTTTAGAAGAACTCTGCTTAAAAAGCAGAGTTACGTGAAGCAGTTACGGGACTAATGACTGTCAGTCATCCACACCCATCCTGGAGAGGGTAAAGCTTAACCCCAGGTTCAAGTGAATACCTGCCTGCTGCTCTGATATCCTTAGGGCCTCACACTTCAAGGCCCTGGAGTCCCAAAGCCTGAGGTTGCACTCCAGCCTGGACACTTCTGTCTGGGCCTCAGTCTTCTCGTCTGAAAGAGTGTGGGACTACTAGGGCTTGGCCCAGGGCTGGGCCAATGGTGGGAGACAGAAGTGTCTCCACTCTTGAAAAAGGTTATAGTCTTATTGGGAGGGGGCTGGGTAAAGGCAGTGGGGGCAGCATTCTTGCTTTCCCCTCTCCTAGCAACGAATGCCTTTTCCTACAGTCCCCCCGAAATCGCATTCTGGCATTAAGGCCCAGCTTGCAAGCCACCTCCTCCTGGAGGTGAAGCCTTCTGGAGCTGAGTTCTCTTCTCCGTTTCTTGGGTTCCACCACATGGTGTCTGTGCTTCTCTCCGCCCTGAGGCATTGGCTGAGCCTTGGCCCATCCATATGTCTTGCACAAGACAGGGAAGACTTTGAGGGTGAATCTGTTCTTACCTCCCTGGATTTCTCTCCAGAGTAGAATCTTGTGTCTGGCGTGGGGAGGACACCAAGCATTATTTGGGGGGTTGGGAAGGGAGAGTGGTGGGAAGGTTAACTTGTTAGATGAAGGATAGACCCAGCTTTGCTCTCATAGACAGCGCCAGCCTCACTGAGAAATTAGACAAAGCAAACCCTCCAGACACAATCACAATCTCCAAGAGAAGACAGTAAATTGTTTAATGCTGTAGTCAGAGGATCCTTTCCATCTGCCGAGATGGTTCCCATCCAGCTATCTCATTTAATCGCTCAGCAGCTGGCCTCGGACAGAATGTTTTCCTTTCATCCCCATTTGTCAGGGAGAAAATTGAGACCCACGGAAGGCTTGGCTTGCCCGCGTAGGGCTGTGGCAGAGCTGGGATTTGAACAGGGTGTTCTGATGCCCAAAGCAGTACCTTCCCCAATAAACCTCCAGCAGGTTTAAGTATGGAGGGAGGCAGGAAATTGAGAGGAGGCTGAGGTCAGTGAGGGAGGATGGAGTCCAGGAGTACTTCTTGGAAAAGAGGGCTTAGGCTGGGCCTACAAATTCTAGGAGGGTCCGGGGAGGAGGTGGTGATGGGGACATGCGAGGTGAGATGGGGTTTCCAAACCTCAGGGGCCTAGGGAAGGCCCCACCCTCGGTCACAGCCCAGATGGCCTCACCTGGCCTGGCCCTGGTATCCCTCTTGGACCATAAATGGGTTTTCCCGCAGTATTTTCACTTGCATCCGGATTTCCCAGCAGGCTCCTCTCTGTACATTGGACAAAGCCGAGGGCCCAGCAGATTCCTGTCCTAGCTATAAATCACCATAATCCCTGGGTGTTTTCAAACACTGATTATAGCCCCTGAATTCAATTAGCAGATGAAAATATCTCTTTGTTTTGTTCTTCCTAAAGCGATTTCTTTTTTGTGTAAAAACAAAAGAAATCCACCCAAGATGTCTTCAGAGGTAGGCACACTGCTCTACACCATCATTCTGTGGCGTCCCCTCTGGGATCGCCCATTGCCTCATATAGTCCCAGGGTCAGCCTCCTTCCCTTTCCTCCCCTCTTCCC